TGGAGTGTAACTGAGACCATAATATACTTCATCAATCTAACAAAAATGAGAAGGAAATTGAGATATCAGACCTTATTAGAACAAACACAAATAGCTGTTATTTTGTGATAGAAACTAGGTATCTTATTAAGAGGAATTAGGGATGAACCCCAATTACAAAACACATTGCAGAACTTTGAGGGTCTGCACCTCCCAATGCCATAAAGGTCCCAATTTCCTTTCACAAATCACCTTCTGATCTCTCTATGCCTCCCTCTTATTTATAGGGGCAGTCATGTCTTATTTCTTCTTCAAAATACAAACTAATATTGTAGCTAACTATTAATGAGTCTCCATCTAACATGTCATAACTAATTACAAATGGGAGTTACTTGACAATACTCCCCTCCCTAAAGCTTCACCATGTCTTCAAGGTAAAGGATTACATAACTCCACCAGGGTCCCACTATCTATAGCATAAAAATTGACTGTCTATTTTCCCCATAGCTAGAGATGCAACAGTAGCATAAGTTTCCCCACGAAGCACAAAATTGAACGAGGGCCCAAAATCTAGTGAAGTGACACCTTTTGAATGTTGCCCCATCCCTATAATTTCTTCAAAAGCATCAATTGTACAGCCAAACTTAGCAACTATATTGTACTCCCTTCCCACTCTTGTTGCTGTTGTACTAATTGGACCTTCATTTTGCTTCAGTACGCATCCCAACAAAAACACAACATAGGCAAGTTTTGTTGAATTCTTGATCATTTCGGTAGTGACATGGCTGCTAAACCTCTACCTCATGAATTTCACCTGTCCTAGGAACTTCAAATCTTGTCCATGCTCTCTTCTCCTCACTAGGTATGCTTTAGCCTTGAAATTGTGGAATACTTGGTCTGCTTTTATCTCTTTCACTGGAGTAGACTCAGCCTCTATGCATGCAACAGGTGGTTCAGGTACAAGCATTTTGTCTGCCTTACTTGAGGAGCAAAATTTCATTACAGCTGTTGATCCACCTCACTTCATGGGAGAAATTGAATCACATGGATTTGGCAGAGGTGGTGGGATGTTCATGCTGTCCACACCCGAACCCTCAATTGTTGTCATTGGATCAGTCCTAGGCTTTCTGCTCATGCCAAAGATAGGGCTTCCCTCAATCTTTGTTAGGATTTGCAACCTAGAGAAAGACCCCTCCCTTTGTCATCCCTAAACCCTAAATTCCTGTACCTTTCTTGTGTTCATTTCATGTCCTGGAGCAGCTGGTTCTATTTTCTCTAAACCTTCATCTTCTGGTCTGTTTTCTTGCACCCAAGAATTGTCATTTTTGCTTGTATTTCTTGGCTCCCCATCTTTGCTTCTGGTCTGGTTGATCAAAATCATACTCTCTGCCTTCACAACAGTCTACCAGTCTGCACATAGATTGCACAATTTTCATGTTAGCCACCAGTTAAGAGCATCACCTCTTAGAGCCTTCGCTAGCTTTGATAACTTGACTTCCTTGTGCACTCCATTGGCTTCAAAATACTGCTCAACCTGGATCAGCCACAAATAGGCCTCCTTCCATCTGATGTTAGAATCATCTTCAAGAACTCAATACCCAGCTCCAAGATTAGAGCTTTGATTCCAGTTGATAGAATCTAGGTATCTTATTAAAAAGAATTAGGGATGAACCCCAATTACAAAACACACTGCAGAACTTCGTGGGTCTGCACCTCCCAATGCCATAAAAGCCCAATTTCCTCTCACAAATCACCTGCCATCCCTCCTTATCCTTAGTCTCCCCTCCCCTCTTATTCACTGGCAACATGCCTTATTCAAACTAACTCAGCTAATTAACCAACTAAAATGGGTAACTAACTAATTACTAATGTCATTACCTAACAGTGTCACATAAAAGCAGAGAAAACAGTAATAATATATAAAGACATAATAACAGAAAGCAGGACGATACAGAAATGTTGGTGGAGGTCCAAACATAGTTGAATCAATGGTGAAATTTGTCCTGAGAGCGTGTTATAACTTATAGTAAGTGAACCAAGCTTCAAAATGTTCATCATCCCATCAAAGAGACTTCTATAAGCCATATTCATTCTTCAACTTCGTTTGAGAAACATTCTTTTGAACACACTTTATGATTAGTCAATTTTTAAAGTTCAAACACTTGTCTCATAAATTGATCACACGTAAAAAATATTTTTACTTCTTAAAACTAACCAATCACAAGAAGTGTGTTTAAGTGAGTATACAAAAGAGTATGTTGCTAGCATTCCTCCCTTTTCTTAAGAGTTTCACAACCATTACTGAAGTAGAAATCTCCGCCAACTTTCTTCTGGTTATGGGTGCATTTCATAACTAATGACTGAATTTCCTGTATATATTTTTCATAACACAGTGCACATATTCTCTTAAATGTTTGCGTTTTCAAATTCAGAATGACACTATAATCACACAAAATTTCCATTTGGGTAGCATGATTGATAAATAACTATGCTTCTACCATGATACAGGGATTGACAACAAATAGTTCTAGTGATTTTATCCTTCCAAGCAACAACCATCCTCATTGGTTAGCCTATATAGGCGAAGGACATTCAGTATCTTTCCGAGTTCCTGATGAAAGTGACTGTTTCTGGAAGGGGATGACTTTGTGTGTTGTTTATTCTTCAACCATTGAAAACATGGCAGCTAAATGTCTTACCAATGTTTTGTTCATAAATTACACAAAGTGCACCAGCCAGATATACAAGGGAGACACAACAATGTCTTTTAATGATGAAGATTGGCAGGGCATAATATCAAATCTAGGACCTGGTGACAATGTGGAGATTTTTGTAATTTTTGGGCATGGAATGGTTGTTAATAAGACAGCTGTGTATCTAATATATGGTGACGCAATTGTGGAGCAAATGGAGTCATTAGCTAAAGTGAAAATGGAGCCATCACCTAAAGTGAATGTTAAGCCATTGTCTAATGTGACCATAAAGCCTTCATTTAACTCGAAAACAAATCCACCACCTAAATTGAAAATGGACTTATCACCTCACATGAATTCGGAGCCATCCCAGAAGCCAAAGAAAAATATATGTGCAAGACTTACAAAGAAAATGGGAGAATGTTTTTGCTTGAATAGGAGAGGTTTCAGGATATAAATATTTTACTGTATTATTTTGTTACTTATGTAAATTATGAAGCTAATTATTGTTCTTTCTGATTATGCGTAATATAGGATTATGTTTTAATTGATTATATATCATCTATTAGAATATAAAAAGGGTGACAGACGAGTTCTTAGTGTGTCATCTAAGCTTCTTAAACATTTATCATTTAGCCATGTACGTGGCTTTTCTACATTCTTACCTTATTTGATGACTCTTTAGTTTTCTTTTTAAGAACTCTTAATCTTATGAATGTAAATTAATAACTTTAACAACCTTTGTACATTAATGTCATTTCCAAAAGCTCATTTTTTCATTATTATTTTATGAAGTATAATAGTATTTTATAAATGAAAGAAACAAACACCAAAACACAACATAAAATTTACTGAAAATCCAATAAACAAAAATGATTAGGATTAGATTCACTTCTATTTGCTTCTGTTGTATTATTTCATCTACTTTACTTTTCATACAACGAAGATTAAGTTTTCTGAGATTGAGTTAACTCTAATTCCTTAGATGAAAACTCTCTGTGCAATTAACCTTTTCTAATTCCTTAGACTAATCTGCTTAATACATGCATTTATAGTTCAATAACTAAAAAAATTGAGAATAAACTTTGATGGTTTAATAGTTGATAAGGAAAAGGATATATTTTTATATATATGTTTTCTTTAGTGGCAAAGACAGAGGCTATGTTAGTGAGATACTAAGAGGCCACTTCATGGTGAAATTGGAATAACAGTCTTGGTGGAAAGGAGGTGATAAAAGTTGAAAAGAATAACAAGTTCATAATATATGATCTGCTACGTGATAAGAGAAGAGAAATTATTCGTCGAAGTTTGTCGGCAAAACCTGAAAAGCTTAGTCGACTGTGGGTTCATGAAGATGATGTCGGTGTATTGAAAGAAAATACTGTAAAACATTTCTCTCCATGATTATAAAACTGTTTTTTTTTTTTTTTTTCTCTTTCTAAATTGTCTTGTTCTTCCTAACTTTTTGCTAAAATTTGAGGGATTATAATTAGGAGAGTATTCGTCTTGTAACATGCACAAAATGCATGGTTGAGTTGCATCTTTATATGATGCTTATTTTCATTATACTGAGAAACCAACAAATGCTTTATTTTTAAAAGGTTTCTATGCTCTTATTTCACAGGGAACACAGGCTATTGAAGGATTGGCTTTGAAGTTGGAAAGAACTAATAGATTTAATTCCGAAACATTTGAGAAAATGAAGAGACTAAGACATCTTAAACTTAATCATGTACCGCTTGATGGAGATTATGAGTATCTTCCCAAAGACATAAGCTGGGTCTACTGGCAAGAATTTCCTTTAAAATACATACCTGACGACTTTAATTTTATCAGGGATACGCAGTTTCTATTCACATGAAACACTGTCTCTTAAGCAAGTTTGGAGGAAGCCCCGGGTACATTTTGGATGAAATTTTCCTTTGAAATTATGTCCACCATATTTTGCATAAAATCTTGAACTAACATATTTTGCATGAGAATAGTAATAGTTTCCATAATTTGTTTTTCTAATTTTTGATTTTGTAAATTTCCTCGCAGTTGTTGGAGAGGCCACAAATCATCAATCTTAGTTATTCCAGTGTACTTGACAAACCCCTTGATTTTTCAGATCTACCCAATCTCGTGAAGCTCATTCTCAAAGATTTTGAACGCTTGTCTGAGGTACACTAATCTATTGGACATCTAAATAATCTTAGTCTAATAAATTTAAAGAACCGCACAAGCCTTAACAATCTCCCAGTGATGATATATAAGTTGAAATCTCTAAAATCTCTCATCCTTTCTGGTTGTTCGAGGACTAACAAGTTAGAAAAGGACAAAGGGAAAATGGAATCTTTGACAACACTAGTTGCAAATAATACTGGGGTAAAGTACGTTCCTGTTATAGAAGAAGCTAGTTCTAGGCGTTACACAAACACAAAGAACATACAAGAATGAGGTAACCTTGAGGAAGAAAGGTTCCGAATGAGAGAAGAATATAGAGAGAATGACAATTTTTCAGTTTGGTCTTTTTTCTAATAACAACTTATTTAAGAGAACTAACGCATGAAACCAACTAGCTTTTAACTAACTTTTATCCGATTATCATTATTTCATAACAATTCCTTTTTTGATAATAAGATAAAAAAACATTGGATATATATCTCTTGTGGATAAGAAGGATTAGCATGTGATGCATTTTCTTCTCTTATATGATCTTGGATGTCACCAACAATAAATCTTGCATCTTGCATTCAACTATTTCTGAGTGTCAACATCTCTAACCCTAGATATATAAGTGATGTGACATATTTTATGTTATATTTTTAGTTTTATTTTGATTAATAAACATTTTTCATATGCTTTATTTTTAAATTTTTTATCATTTTCTAGTTATTTGAATAAATTAAACTTGTTACAAATAAATGCTTTAATTTCATATTTTTTATTATTATGACCTTTGACTACTCTTTTAGTCATAACCTTTTCTACAGATATTATTTTTGACTGATTCTAGTTGCATTGAATTATAAACATCCAGGCTTCAAAATGCATATATGGATCACTGGATTTTTTATGATTTTTGGTGAATATTATTGCAGAATTACATTTAGACCCTTGTTATTTAATAATTGTATTTGAACTTTTAGATATTATCGATGCCTGCATTTTGGCCACTTAATTTATTCTAATTAGAACTTATAAATACATTAATAAGGTTCTGAATTGGGGCAGTTGATTAGATACTTTGAGATTTTGAGACTTGGTCGAAATAAGAATCTTTATTTTTACTTTCTTTTGAACTCTCTTATTCTTTTCTCATTCTTGTGTGGGGTAAGCTTTTCGATAGAAGGCTAAACCTCTTGTTCAATCCGTGAAATCCAAATATCGTAATTCTGACTTGAGTTCTGCCCTAAATTTCTCCGAATTTGTTCTCTTTTATCTCTAATCCCAGAATTGTGTGTTGCGATCGTAATTAACATTTATGTTGTTAGAATTTAAATTAGGATTCGATTAATGCTCTGATTTGATAATTAATATGGATTAGGTTAAATGATTATTTGATTTAATTTATAACTCTATTCAATTAGGATATTTGATTAAATTAATAATTGAATTGGGTGATTGTTCAAACGCAGATTTAAATCTTTAGATACTGTGATACTCGGAGTTGCACGCAATTGATATTCTATGGATTGATGTTTCTTAATTCATTTTTACTCGTTATAATTTTATCCGTAATTTAATTTAATTAATTTACAATATTTAAAATCCCAAAAAACCTTATTTACATTTTTTAAAACAAAACCTTATTGGCCCTATACTACAAAATTTTTAGAAAACTTAGTTGTTTTGATAACGACTTGGCATCGTCTATCAATAGAAAAATAATTTGAACAATTTATTGCCAATGTTTAGTTGAATTTCAAAGCTTCTAGGCATCTGGTTGCATTGTGACTCAGTCTCTACTAACTTAGATGATGTGAGATTTAATTTGTTGGCAACAACATTAGATCGATGCATCACAAAATTTAGAGACTAGCATGGGATGTCATTTGATTGGAATGGGAAGTTACCTCCTTGCTCCATGTCATCAATGCACTTAGCAAGAGTATATCAGAGGTTCCTTTTACTCTCCCTGTTTTCTCCTCCCTTTACTCTCCATTTGTGCAAATAATTAACATAATATAATCTTTTAGTGGCAAAAATGTGTGTTGTCTTTTGTAATGGTAAATGGTAGCAACAAATTATTAATGCTAATGTGACATCACAACAAAAATATTTCATTCTCGCAAATGAACACCAAGATCACACAATATATTTGAATCCAAGTGACATAACTTGAGCAACATCTTATAAAGAAAAAGGGTATGCACCTTGTTGGCTTTAGTGTTAGTAAGAGATCCTAAGATGAAAAAATAATTAAGACATCGATAGAAATGATAGATCCTGTGCTCAAGAGATGGTAGGAAAACTTAAGAGTAAATTATTCATGGTACAAAGATGAAGACCATATCCAACAATGCCAACAGCGCAACAGATATTAAATTCTGAAGCAGGAAAATGAGAAGTGATTTGACTTTGGCTCAAAATATGGCAGATGTTGTTCACGACATAAGAGATGTAAAAGATATGTAACTGTGAGATCTTTAAGCCAGATGAAAAAATAGGATTTGTTAAGGATGATGAACCTTTGCCCTGGAGGATATGGATCCTATAATGAAAACAGAAAATAATTTGGAATGTAGTGTGTTGAAATAGTGAAAAAAAGAAGCAGCAAATATATAGCTATGAGTTATGTAATGCTTTGATTTATCTATTTATTTTAAATTAGTTTTACGGGGCATATCATATGTGAGTAAATTGACTTTAGTGACAAACTCTAATTAAATGTTAATACTTAACAATTTTATGAAATTTTAGTTTAGTTAAGTTTTATTCAGATGTTTCACGTGATTTGAAAATAGAATCAGAATACTTCCTATTATAAGACTTGGGTAATCCTTTTCCGTTGATCTATCTTTTAGGAGTAACTTGTACTCAAATTTCTAATATAATATTAAGGCTATTTAATTTAAATGTTGAGCTGCTTACACGTGTCTAATCTTGTTAAGCCATTTACAAATGTATAATCTTAAAAATTTCATGCATTATATATTCAATATTGATCAAAATATTTTTTATAAGACTTGTGTAACCCTCCTCCTTCAAGTTAACTTTTGAAAGTAAGTTAATCTTAATTTTTAATAACTATTAATGAAGAGAACTAAGAAAGTTTTGTAAAGTAATGTTATTTATAGTAGATTTGCTCTTTAAGATTGACATAATGATAAGTTTGTATTTTGACACACTTTTTTAATATCTTTGTATGTATTTATTCTTTATTTGAATAAATTTTTACACTAATTATCCTCAAATTTGCTGCAGTTAAACGTGTTTGAGGAAACACAGGACTCATGGACGGTTTGGGTGCAAACTCAAGAGAATCATACCAATCTAAATAAAGCACGCCCAATCCATAAGCAAGCAGCACACTCATGCTTCGATATGATGCACGATCATGCATCTTGACCAACACACTCATGCTTTGATCTTAAGCACGATCGTGCATACTATCTGACATGACCGTGCTCACTTGCAAGAACCCAACTTTGAAGAAATTTTAAGGTTTTCAAATCTTATTAAAGGAGATAGGAGGATAGTGACAGGGGAGTTCTAAATCCTGATTTTTACACACACCTTTGATACATCTTCCATCTCATTCGTTCCACGCCTTGGTCTCTCTCTCTCACTTGATCTTTGACACATTCTTGTTGAAACTTAGAGCTTTAAGCGATTGTACTTGAAAATTAGAAACTCTTCTTATCTCTATCCCTAGGGAATAATCTAATTTGATATTTTTTTTTACTATGACTTTGTTTATGATTGTTTTATTTATTTTTTCTAGCATGAGTAACTAAGTTTATAGCTAGGGCTATGAGAATTCTTGTTCATGAATTTATGAGATTTTGGTGTTTGAATCTAAAGTTTGATTTTCGTGCATGATTAGTGTTTATTCTGTTGCACATAATTGTATGTTGTGAATTAGTCATTTGTAATATAACTTTAATTAATTACATTGTAGACAATGTACTTCGATTAGTTAATGGATCTCTAGAATAAAATGAGACAAATGATTAGGTGGACCAAACTAATCTTTCTTTTTCAATCGTTATTAAATTAACAAGTCCATAGATGTTTTATAATAATATATCAATAATAATTGTATGAATGATTGATAATTACAAAGAAATCAGATTTAAAAAATTTATAACTAGGAGCATCCTAAACCTTAGAGAAGAAAGGATGTGAGGAGAGACCCAATCGTGAACATTTTATATTGTCTAAATTATTTTTATATTACTTATTTATATAATATAAATTAAAAATTAAAGCAACTTTTTTAAAAAATCATAAGAAAATATTTAATTTTTTGTTATAATAAAAATTTATTTTTATAAAAATTTCATTAATATAAACTATTTTTTTTACCTTCTTTTTATTCATCTAAATAAGTAAATATTTTTTTTATTTCTTTCTTTCTTAAATTTATTCATCCAAACAACGTATCTTTTTACTCTTTAGTTAATATTGTAAAACACATTTTAGAAATTTTTAATATTCTTTTTGGTACTGTTTGGAGAAAATTTTTTTTCTAAGTTATAAAGTCTCCTACCAAACTTTTGTAATGAAAAATATACTATATTTTTATAAAGAAAAATATAGCTTAAAGTTGAGTGGTATCAACATATTCTTTAACTAAAAAATTAAAAAAGTCATAGGTCCCTTCAACATAATGAGTCAGAAGACTCTAAAAATTTAAGTTCAAAACTTGTCAAAAAGAGTTACCTTTTGACTCATTTATAAGAAGACTAGCAACCTATTAAGCGTACGTAGCTCTTTGGATCTTGCATAACCAATCACATATGTTGAGCCCTCATGTAGCTGAGCAAAACAAAATTACACAACAAATTCACATAGAAATACAAATAATAATAATAAAAATAAAATGGAAACTAAGTACTCACAACCACAATATAGCAGCAGCGAGCAAAAACTATTTAATGCAATTTTTCAAATCACTTTATAGTTTCTATGAAATATTTAACACATTTTTCTGCATGAAGTTAGTGAAAACTTAAATTAAAACTATAGTATTAAATGAAGATAAAATTTGTATTTCATTCAAATGTAATATAACTCTCAATCATAGAAATACAGGAGAGGAGTACTAGAAATACACTATCAATCACATTTTTAGTTATTAATTAAATTTTATTGAAAAATCTAAGAGTATGAAAGGAAATTGTTAAAAAAAGAGTGAGAAAAATTAAAACTCAATTTTTTAATTTTCAGTAAATTGTAGATGATTATTGTTAAGATTAAAAAATAATTTTATCTTATGTTTTTATTCAGCACTTACTTGGAAGCCTAAAAACAAAAGTGGAATCTTCTCGCTTAACGACGACGCATTTGGTGTTCGCTTTGCTCCGTATCATACGTTTTCTATTTCTCGTCTTGCAAGCGTTGACTTGAAAGTCATTCATCGAATCTCTCAATCAATGTCATTTTCTTCATCATCATTCTCGAATCCTCGATGGATCTACGACGTGTTCATCAACTTCAGAGGAGAAGACACGCGTAACAGCTTCGTTTCTCATCTGCACGCTTCCCTGGCAAATGCGGGAATCCAAACGTTCATCGATGAGTCACTTCGCAAAGGAAAGATGCTGAAAGTAGAATTAATGGAAGCAATAAAAGCGTCTCACATAGCAGTGGTTGTTTTCTCCAAAAGCTACGCTGAATCTTCATATTGTCTTCATGAGCTAACGGAAATCATGCAATGCCACGCAAGTTATGGGCAAGTTGTTGTGCCCATTTTCTATGACGTTGATCCAGCTGATGTGCGTCATCACAAGGGTGCTTTTGGAGAACCTTTGGAAGCGCTGGCAGCAAAAAGATACTCACAGGAAGTGGCTGAACCTATGTTGTCCTGGTGGAAGAAAGCTCTCACCCAAGCTGCAAATTTGACTGGTTGGGATATCAAGAGTTACCGGTACATTACTATTTTTCACTCTCCTATTCTTACATAAATTAAAGCATTTTTTAACATTTAGAAATTATGTGTATGGTTTAAGAAATTAAAACTCAAAATATTTTTACTTGTCTTGGTGATTTTTAGCAAATCTTTTACTAGGTTGAATCAAGTTTTAACAAAGCTTAATGCTTTGTTTATTGGTATGACATGACACATGAATAAATTATTTTTTTAAGAAATTTATGATGCTCCTATGTTAAGTAAAATATAGTTATTTTAATAAATTGTTTATATTTTATTGCTGGCTTAAATAAAATATATAATTTTGTTTCTAATTTAGTCTCTCAAAAATTATTTTTCAACTTTATGAACGAGATATCTCATTAATAATATTACATCTTTTGTATTTTTTAATGGAATTTTAACTTGTAAAGTTGGGAGTTCTTAAATTCAGATTTGAAAATATAATAAATACTTCATAGAAAATATAAAGTGATTTATAAAGGTTGTATTAATTTACAATAACTTTATGTAATACACATGAGTTAAGTTGGATGTTATATAAATATATACTAGAATAATATAACAAATTACTAATACAATAACTGTATGGAAAAGAAAAATAATTTTTGAGGGACGTGTTTGAAAAAAAAAAGTGGGAATCAATTGAAAAAATTACAAAATTTTATTTAATTCTTTATAGATTTATAATTTTGTAAATATAGCTAATATTTATATTAATTTGCCATCGTCATATTATTACAAGTATTTAACCTCTTGAAAAGTTTATTAAGAAAACATAATCATAATCAAATTTAATCATAAATATTACATTCAAATTATGATGCTAATCCCTTTATTATTATCCAATGAAAAAAATATATGTCAAGACATTTGAAGGTAACGTAAATAAGCTTTGATTCCGAGGCATTTATATATAATACCCGTATTGAGTATCCGATAGAAGTGCATGGCAAATTTTGAAGATCTAGGACTTTCAGCAACTAATGCTATTCCTGTCTTTTTAATGATTATTATTAAAGAAGTGAAGCTGAGCAAGTGAAGGAAATTGTTAAGTACATCGTGACAAAACTAGGCAACACATTGTTGTCTATTACCGATTTTCCAGTTGGATTAGAATCACGTGTGCAAGAAGTGATTGGTTTCATTGGAGCTCAATCAATAACAGAGTTTTGTAAAATTGGGATCTGGGGAATGGGAGGATCTGGTAAAACAACCACTGCCAAAGCCATCTACAATAAAATTCATCGCAATTTTGAGAATAGAAGTTTCATTGAAAATATTAGAGAAGTTTGGGAAAAGGATAACAGAGGGTGTATCAATTTACAAGAACAACTTATTTCAGATCTCCTAAAAATAGATGTGAAAATATGGAATATTGCGTCAGGGACAACTATGATTGAGAAAAGACTTCACCAGAAAAAGGCACTTATTGTATTTGATGACGTGACCAACTTTGAGCAATTAAAAGCTCTATGTGGAAATGGTAAATGGATTGGTTCGGGCACTATATTAATTGTTACCAGCAGAGATATACGCTTGCTTAACTTACTTGAAGTTGACCACATTTGCAAAATGAAGGAAATGGACGAAAATGAGTCCCTTGAACTTTTCAGTTGGCATGCCTTTAGAAAAGCAAGTCCAAGAGAAGACTTCAATGAACTCTCAAGAAATGTAGTTCTTTACTGTGGTGGACTACCGTTGGCTCTTGAAGTCCTTGGATCATACTTGTATGAAAGGACAAAACAACAATGGAAATGTGTATTATCAAAACTAGAGAAAATTCCCAATGATCAAGTACAAGAGAAACTCAAAATAAGCTATGATGGTTTAAATTGTGAGGAAAAGAATATATTTCTTGACATATGTTGTTTCTTTATTGGCAAGGACAGAGCCTATGTTACAGATGTACTAGATGACTGTGGATTTTATCCTGAAATGGGAATAACAATCTTGGTAGAAAGGAGCCTCATAAAGGTTGAAAAGAATAATAAGCTTGCAATGCATGATTTGCTATGCGACATGGGCAAAGAAATTGTTCGTCAAAGTTCATCACAAGAACCTGAGAAGCGTAGTCGATTGTGGGCTCATGAGGATGTAGTTGATGTATTGACAGAACATACTGTAAGAACCTGCTGTATATACTATTTCAACAATACTTTTTATCTTCCTCCATGATCTTATCTTGATCACAAAACTATTTTTTTTGTTGTTTTGTCCTTCTGAACTTTTTCGTAAAATTCATAAGATTTGTTATTCAGGGAGTATTTGTCTTGTAATGTGCAATAGATGCATGCTTCTGCTACATATTCATGCGTTATTTTATTTCTAGTCAGAAAAGAACAAAGTTCCCTTTTATTTCATTCTAAATTTTTCCACACTCTTTTCTTTCACAGGGGACCAAAGCTATTGAGGGGTTGGCATTGAAATTGGAAAGAACTAGTAAAGTTTGCTTTGATACTAAAGCATTTGAGAAAATGAAGAGATTAAGACTTTTGAAACTTGATCATGTACATCTTGTTGGAGATTATGAGTTTCTTCCCAAACATCTAAGATGGGTCTATTGGCAAGGATTTCCTTTAGAGCACATACCTGACAACTTTTATCTGGGAAATGTAGTTGCTATTGACTTAAAATACAGTAATATTAAACTAGTATGGAAGGAGCCCCAGGTTAATATTACATGAAATTTTCTTTGATGACAATTGTAATTGTTTCTATCATTGTCTTCCCTAATTCTTCTTTTCAAACATTTCTTGTGCAGTTGTTGGAAACACTAAAAATCATCAATCTTAGTCATTCAAGGTACTTGACAAAAACCCCTGACTTTTCAAAACTGCCAAATCTTGAACAGCTCATTCTCAAAGATTGTCCAAGCTTGTCTGATGTACACCATTCCATTGGAGATCTGAGTAATCTTCTTCTGATAAATTTGAAAGACTGTATAAGCCTTAGCAATCTCCCAAACAGGATATATCAGTCAAAATCTTTGCAAACCCTCATCCTCTCTGGTTGTTCAAAGATTGACAAATTGGAAGAAAATATAGTGCAGATGGAATCCTTGAGAACACTGATTGCCAAAGATGCAGCTATAAAAGAAATGCCACGTTCGATAGTAAGATCAAAAAGCATTGGATACATATCCCTTTGTGGTTATGAAGGGTTTACCCGTGATGTATTTCCTTCTCTCCTTTGGTCTTGGATGTCACCAACGATGAATCCCATGTCTTGTATTCCTTCATTTGGGAGCATGTCATGCTCATCTTTAGTTTCCATGGATGTACAGAATAACTTAACGGGTGATAAATCACTAATAATTAGTGGCCTTTCAAAACTAAGAAGCATTTGGGTGCAATGCGACACAGAGGTTCAACTGTCTCAAGTATTAAAAGGAATTCTGGATGACATATGTTATGATACAAAGATTTCATATCTAGAAAAAACATCATTTACATCAACATCACAAATGTTGGATCATTCATTGAGGTCTCTTTTGATTGGAATGGGAACTTACTGCCAAGTCTTTGATGAATTGAGCAAGGGCATGTCAAAGGTTCCATCTCTCTCCCCATTTATCGACCTTTACTAATCATCTTTGCTATTATTAATTAAGAAAACACGGAATAATCTTTGCTTAGTGAAAATATGAAGAACAAAAAGTAATCTTTACACACCGTACATTAAGAACCTTTCTTGGCTTCTTCTTTGAATACCCTATATCAACAAGCCTGGTCATTGTGCTCTCATATGAAGCCTTAGCCACATGGAAATTACTTTTTGCCATACTTTTGCTAAGCTTGTTGCATATTCATTATATCTTTTTTCGTTATAGAAAAGAAAAGCGATAATTTATATTGAGAAACATGTTTGTCCTAAAAGTTATAAACCTGCCATTGTAGCAGGAGTGTATCCTAACCTTCTGCTATTGTTAGATTCCATAAAAAGCAATTAGCTAAATTTCTTTCAATTAGTTACCATGTTTGAATTCTCTAAAAATTCACTTTTGAAATTCAATATAAGAATTCAAATGTAGAAAATCTCTTTTAGAATGACATAATATCAAATGATTGCTTTTGTTCTTGATACAGGAACTGACTACCAGTGGATCTACTGGTTTTTCTCTACCCAGTGACAACTTTCCTCATTGGTTAACCTATATTGGTGAAGGACATTCAGTACTTTTCAAAGTGCCTCATAGTGATTGGTTCATGAAGGGAATGATCTTACGTGTTCTTTATTCATCCACAGCTGAAATAATGGCAGACGATTGTCTTAGTATCTTGATTGTTAATTACACAAAGTGCACCATCCAGTTATACAAGCGAGACACATCAATTTCCTTTGATGATCAAGACTGGCAAGACATTATATCAAATCTAGGACCTAAGGACAATATGGAGATTTGTGTTGCTTTTGGGCAAGGATTGACTATCAAGAGGACAACCGTTTTTCTAATATATGATAAATCGATTAATGTGGATCCAGAGACTTCATTGAACCCAAAGAAAAAGCTTCGAAAAGACTTCATATGAGAATGTTTTGGACATGCAAAAGTCATATTTCAGGTTTCCCTTGTTTCTGTATTTTGCAATATTTGTCTCAGAGGGAGGAGGCTGTATTTTGTTATGCAATAGTACTAATGGAAAGGCTGAATCTAAAGTTCATTTTCTAAGTGGTTAGGGTATAGGATATCTTAAATGAAGCATATCATCAATATTGGTAGCAGTTCTTTTGGTCACTGATTCCTGTTTTTTCAGTGAGAGGCTTACCTATCTCATGTCTCTGTTTTAGTCAAAGGAGATGCTTCAAAAGGACATTGTGAGAAACCCTTCAGTGTTACTATTTGACTCACAGTGACATGAAAGCTATTGTTGTTGTACTCTGAAGAGTTAGGTGTCAAGGAATGGACTTGATTCAGATGCTCAATTGTATCCCTGTCTACTAAGCATACAAAAAATGCCTCCCCATATTTTTCTCTGCCTTTCTTTCTTCACCCGAGGGAATATAAACTTCTGAGGGATTATCCTGGGTGTTGCAAAAACTAGCAGAGTTTGCATCATTAATAATGCTTCAAGGAAATGAAGAAATTGATACTTATTCAACATGATCATGCTAAACTCCTTAGAAATTAAAGGTATATATTTCTGATAAGCTTAAATGGGCTGGTTGGCTAGGATTCCCCTTATAATATATACTTGTTAACTTTTATTAGGAAAATCTAGTTGTTAATATTTACTTAATACAGTAATATAAAACAAATTTGGAAGGAACCTAAGGTATAATCACTTATCCTTTTATTGAAAATAATACTAAGGTTGATTACAATTGTAATATTTGCTACCATTTCATCTTGTGTTCTGCTCTAATTTTTCCTTTCAATAATTGTTGATAAACATATTGGCAAGTGTACCAAATTGTTTACAGTGACAATTAGATTTTATTGTCTACTGAGATTAATGTTATTTACCAAACCATAAGAATGTTACTAGTTGGGTTGAAAAATAGAGTGACAATGTAAACCGAAAATTTAGATAATGTGCAAAATGTTGAATTTTGATATAAGTGCTGGAAAACGAAATTAACATTAAGAGTAAAAGTTGGGCTTAAGAAATTAACTATAAATGAAGTTAAACTGCAAAATGTAAGTAAATAAGTGAATGAAAATAATTTGTAATTTGATTAAGAAGTGGGTTGAGTTCAGCCTTCCTTAATCCTTCCCATTGCATAAAAATATGTAACCCAAAATACAATTTGGTCTAATAGTCAGATTTTCTGAAGTACCCAATATCAATTTCTTAGTTGATTGGTTCTAAAATAGTTTTAGGTTCCTAATTCCTTAGGTAACCAAGAAGATGATTAGCATTAAAATTAGAAATCAACATGACCACACCATTATAGATTCCTATTCCTAGATAATCAATAATGAGAAATTTAATCTAAATCCAAGAAAGATTACAACTTTCTAGTTATAAGTTTCCTTTCATCAACCTTGAGTGCTAAGAAATAGAGAAGCATTAAGCTCAAAATTAAATATGTTAGATTACAGACTGTATTTGAGTTATATCCAATGTTCAGTTCATTGCAATGGATAAAAGATTAACTTCATCCTTTCTCAACCCCAATAAGTTTAGTAAGACATAGCAGAAATAAAGAAGAAAAAATTTAAATATATTATAGAAAACTCCATGTTCAATTGACAGCAACTTACAAGAAAAATGTAAATGTAGGAATTACTGTTCCATTAAAGAGTAAAAGGAATGGAGGGATCTAGCCCTAGTTCCCATCAAAATCCCATACAAAAGCGAACAAAAAATGGAATGAAAGACATCTTTACGTATGTATAGATGTACGAAAAACGTAAAATTCTGTGTTTGAAAAGAGTAATAACAGATGCCGCCTTTCACAAAAATTTTTGTTTCTATATGCTTTGTTAGGCTTGTGTCCCCACAATTAATTATGCATGTGCCCACAAATATGTCATGCAGCAATTCAACTTCTTCTCTTTAAATTCAATTGTGATTTCTCTTTTGAATCCTTAAAAAATCAACGGCCAACTATTAATAATTGAACAATTCATTACATTCCAAGTAATAACATCTTTCTAATGAATATTTTAATTAATTACATTAACTTGAATCATTTATGCAATGAAATGTGCCATAAACATTCAATATACTACATAAGTTAATAACTCATCAATTGTCTTCATACAGTTACTAATATCATAGATATTTTTTTCTCTCTTTCTTTCACCCCTTCATTTATCTGACTATTTTTATTTTATTGCTTTACAACTCATAATGATATTCATTTTTTTTTTGTTTTTTATGCAATATTTGAGTTGCTATAATTATCTCACCAATATATCATATTTTTAAAAAAAATAAATTGTTTTGGCTATTTCTTTAAATCTAGATAATCCAAAGCAATGAGTTGGTTATTAGTTGCTAAAGACTCTCAATCTCAGTCATTCTAGGTACTTCACGAACAACCTTGACACTTCAAAAATACAAAATTTATGAAGATAATTTTGAAGGATTGTCCAAATTTTTTGCTGAGTTATGCCAATCCAATGGTAATCTATGTAATCTTTGTCTAATTGATTGATGTATATTCCTTAAAAATCTCCCTAGAGGAATCTGAGTTGAATTATTTGCAACTCCCATCCAATTGAAGCAGAAATTTGTCATACTTCCTGTTGCAAATAATATAATAATGTTGTAACACCCTCTTCTCATTTTTCGGTAATTATGTGTTATTTAACATTGAGTTGCATTAGAATGTATTTAGAAGCAAGCTTGGAGGATTTTAGAGAAATTTTGGTGCAGGAGATCTCGCTTAGGCGAGATTGGATGTGCAGAAATATCTTGCTGCAAGGCTATCTCGCTCAAGCGAGATAAGATAAATGTTGCCCAACTGTTACCTCGCTTAGGCGAGAGTGATCTCACTTAGGCGAGCTGAGAATCTCGCTCAAGCGAGATGAGTTGCTCAGGCGAGGACCCACAGGAGAAATGACATGCTCTCTGGGTACCATCTCGCTCAGGCGAGATGGAACTCGCTCAAGCGAGCATATAAGAAAATATGGGGCGAGACCATTGTCTGCATATCTCGCTCAGGCGACAGAGTCGTTGCTCAAGCGAGATATCGTCGCTCAAGCGAGATGTCCTTTGCTTAGGCGAGAATGCACAAGGATGAGGGGTATTTAAGAGATTTCTCGCATGAGAATTTCATTCTATTACAAACTCATGTCCTTCCTTTAATTTTTCTTTGAATTCTCTCTTCTTTTCACTCAAATAAAAGCCTCAGAAACTCTGACTTCTCTTCATAATCACGCTTGGGCATTGAAGCTAAGTGATTCTAAGTAAGTTTCTTCGAGTTAAATTTGATTTTCTCTAATCGTTTCTCGTGTTTTTGTTCTTATGGATATCTCTTGGTATTCAGGAGAACTTTTGTCTGTGAACTTTGATCCTTTTCCATATATCTTTGTGAGCTCATCTTCGAGGTAAGGAGAGCTCTATTTTTATCTTTCTATTATAGTATTTATGATGTGCTTATAGAGCATTGTTATGTGAATATAGTATGAGAATAGATGAGTAGGATATGTGTTGTGCTGAGTATGATTGAAAAGATGTTTGTTGATTGTTTGGACTGTTTGGTTGCTTGGATTAAGTGGTTGATATATGTGTATATGTATTACATGATGAGTACTTAAAATGGAAGATGATTAAATTTGCTGAATGATTATCATGAGATATTAAATATATTTGAATAAAATGGTATATTGGAATGATATTGAGATGAAATGTACTGGAATGTAATTAGTCTGGAAGTACTTTACTAAGCACGATCTTATGAGTAAGAAAGAGAATAATTCTGAGAATGACTATAAGAGTCAGATTTGGATTGATCTAGTGTAAATAATTACAGAGATACAATGGGGTATAGAGTTCGGAGACAATGAGAATCTAGGAAAAATGTAGAGTGGTGAGCGACATTCGCGTATATGTACACACTCTTTATGAGAGCGAATACGTCACATGGCCTCACACTCTTTTCTTCACTAGACTCCTAACTATACCTTTATTAAGGGTCCAATTATTATACATGTTGTATCCGTGTGCATAGGCTAACTGGCGACTATTTACCTAGTTGAGTAAGACATCGAGAAGTGTTGGAGGCATCGGTATCTGTGATCATAGTGCACTGAGAGTACGTGTTGGAATGAGAGAAAGGAAAATGAATGATAAATTATTAAATGTTATGAGTGATCTGAATATGTTTGTAAATATGAATTCGTGAAATTGAATGTGTTGCTTTTATGTTAAAATTATGATTTTATGCTAAATGATTGTAAAAGGATAGAATTACTAATAATTTCAGGGAATCGGGATGATGAAGTCTCAGGGAAGCGTTAGACTAGTAAATAGTTTTGTACATTTTAGGTTAAATTATGTATTTAATGAGTATCAGAGAGTAAATTATTTTAAATTTGCTATACTTATAGAAGATGAACATAAGGTTTTTGTTATGATAGAAATGAATTACTCTTATAGTATCCTTTTGACTTTCCTAGGAGTAGGATACACCAGACTCTCTGTGTATATATGTACCAAGGTACTGTTAGGACCCCAACAACTTTTACTTAGCTTTTCACCTACAACGATCACGACCACCTCGAAAGACCATCCAGATGGATATTTGAGCATGTCACTAGTACAAAGGTTAGAGCTGATTCAGGAGATCTCTATCTAAGATCGGACAAAGATATGGATTCGAAAGACTTAGTTGAGATTGAGAGTTGGGAAGCTAGAGATGAGTAGGATTAATCTTAAGTGGTTGTATATGTTTATGTGTTATAAATATTTTAATGATGTAATTATTATTTCAAATCGCATATATTTTGAATCATGATTTGTAAATTAATATACTTAATATATGAAATGTCTGTTTAAAATTTCTTAACTTAAATCATTTTATTATGTTTTAAATTCAGCCTTTAAAATTATTGTCGTATCATTTATATTAATTTATG